GTGAAGATCAAATTAGGGAGATTCATTCAGGTAACATAATGGCGTACAGTGATGAACTTGATGGCTTGCAGCTTAGCCAAGTTAGTTAAACTTCCTTTAAATTCATATTTATATTTTCAAGTTTTCATGTCGAATACATTTAACAAATTCACATGTTACAGGTAAAGATAACTTCATACATGGAGGCAATTCTTGCTTCATTATCAAAGCGTTGTTGTGTGTCTAGGGAGTTATAGACAGCTCGGGTCTCGATGATTAGTTTGAAATGTGTAAGGTGACACCTCTCTGATTTAGTTATGAGGCAATTTGGAGGGGTTTAATTCACCAAATTGGAGCCTATTGAGAGAGGGTTTAGAAGGATAGATGGTCCAGGGTGGGCTTTAGGGGCTGTAAAGTTAAGTATATGACATACATTGAGATATGAAATAATATACATGCACTTCTTTTTCTAGTGATTCTACTAGAAGATAGCGATAATTAGGAGTTAGGGATATACTTACGATGGTACCAATCTTGGGCATCCATCTACTTATTGTAGCCTCATACTTTGCCTCTAGAAATAATTTTCCCAAGATATCTGTGAGAGCGATTGGTGGTACATATTCGTATTTACTACTCTTAAATATTATGAATTTAGTTTGCAAAATAATACTTTTTTCCATGAATAAACACAACAAGCTGACTACTTTATATGAAGTTATGACTTGTTAGAACCGCTGAGTTGCAGACATGGGAAAAATGAAAGCTCATTAAAGTTGGCTATTGATCAGGTTGTGGAGTTAGCAGATAGAGTACATAGATCATTCTACATTGATTATAATACTTTTGACACAAGTATAGATGACCAACCCTCGTACAAAGCCCACGAAGCTCAAGGTTCCAAATGTTCCACCTCAAATACACCATCTACATCCACAGGGGGGTATAGGAGGAAATCAAAAGTCCAAAGCCAAAGATATGGATCGACCAAGACATTCAATATATATTGGCACAAGGGATTATGATGTGAAATCCACATATGATGTATGACAATCGTCGATGCCTATGTAATAGTTTAACATATTTGATGCACTAGTCAACCATCTTGTAAATCTCTATTATCACAGCTAATCCCAATATACTCCTTCATCTTCATTATTTAACGTGTGTATGACTCATTGGATGGCAACTGTGGACACCATCATAAAAAACAGAGAAATATTCACTCTTGTAACAAGGACAACCTTTTTAGGAGTACCAGCATGTTGAGGGAGATGAAGATGTAGATGTTCATCCACCATTATAAAGGTGAGTACAATGAGCTGTAGCTAGATTTACCTCAGATAGTGATGTTATTCTCCGTTACAGATAAAGGAGATAACTTTGTATTTTATTTCATCAGCTTATCTATAACAATGTATTATGGATACGTATGTTAGTTTATTTCATCATTATATATTTTAGTTTATTGTAGATATTGAATATAATATTAAAGGATGGAAGTAGCTTTGATAAAATACTAATTATGAGTAATCATAAGTGGCTTCTACTTATAAAGTTTAAATGGTGCTCCACTATAATAAAGGCTTTACTAAGTAGGGATATAAAAAATGGACACGACATGAAAACCCGACATGAACCTTACTCAAAATTTTTGGGTTCGGGTCTACCCGTTTAAAAAATAGGTTGGCTCCGGGTCAACTCAGCAACTCGATATTAACCCGAATTGATCCACGTTGTTTTGATCAGGACAAATAGTAAGAGAGCAGGTGGGTCTCCATTCATCTGTAGTTAGATCAGAAGCAGCAACGATGACAACGATAGTAGTTGGACTAGAAGCAACGTCGATGATGGCAGACGGGTCTTTATTTGAAAAATGCCTTTTTGTAGATGGATCAGAAGTAATCATGATGACAAGAGGAAGCAATGACAACAATGATAGGGAAAATGTCGTTTTATATGATTTGGCTGAATAAGCGGGTGAACGAAGGGCAGTAGAGGCAGATTTATGGGATTTAGCTGAATAAGTGTGTGAATGGTGGAAAATTATGGGCCAGGTCGGGTTGACCCAAACCCGAAGCGGGCCGGGTTCAGGTCTGAAAATTTTACCCATTTTAAAAAATGGTTTGGGTTCGGGTCAGGTCGAAAAGTACCGAATCAATATCGGGTTGAACCCAAACCTGACCCATGATCCGATTTTAACAGCCCTATTACTAAGCATTCAAAAGAAAACAAATACAACATGTCCCAACATTCATAGTATTACATAGTTTAATTTTTTACTAAGCAGCATACGCAGACGTGATTAAAGTTTAGTTTCAGTCGGGCATCACTTTAGATGAAACTCAAACTCATATTGAAACTCTTTCCAATAATTTTTAGTCATTAAATTTCTAGGCTTACCTTTAGGTAATGACTCATTCATCCAATCGTTATAGAAATCTAATATGAACTCGTCAAAACCAGAATGTCATTTATGGTATAAAATCATATGCTCAATATCAAGGTTGCTACAATCAACATTTGGTTAATGACCATACTCTCTCTCATGTATCATCTCATGATATCACATATGTAAGAAATTAGGACTTATGAGATGATCATTTTCTTCCAAGAATATCATCTAAACATATTTCCACCCCGTTGACATTTAGAAAATCTCTCGTCATATAAAGTTTTACCCTCATTACCTTAGCATGCATGCTCCAAAGGGAATGATCCTCATTCACATTCACCTTTTGCTCCAACAAATTGTCACCGGCCCTTGCTATAAAAGCATGTATTATTCTGCTTGCATTATCGAACCTTTCTTTATTATATCTCCATCGAATCCTCTTCATAGATGGATAATACATTTTGAAGGTTTAAATTCAGATCTTCAAAAATCAACTTGGTATGTGAATGCATCTCCTTTAAATAACTGGGGCTGTGCATATCCCACCTTCACATGCATCTTAAAATTACAATATTATTTGGTGGGATCTTACATCTTTACAGGTCAACTGATATGACAGGTTGCTGTAATGTGAACTCCTATCAATGATTAATGAGACAAACTTAAAATGATCCAATATTTTGAAAAAAATCATCACATTTATTATTACTTCCATAATGCCATGACAATAAAAGCCTATAAAATTAATTTGATAATACCTAGTTTTTAGATAATACAACTTCACAACTAATATCTTAACTTATAACTAATATTCCAACAATAATAAAACCTTCATGTTAAAAACATCATTCAAACAAACACGAACTTACACATCTATTAAACTTAATAAACGTTAACATAAATGTGGAATTTAGAGAACTAACACACTTAACAATGTTCAACAAAAAATAAGCCATATAACCATTCCTGGTCACCATGCACATGCGAGCTTGGAGTTGGGATTGAGTTGGATAACAATTGAATTTGTAATGAAACTCATTCAAGATGTATTGCCAATCCTATGCATTCATAAACTCCTTCCTCTTTTGACCTTCCATAAGATTTAGATTCACATATGATTCAAGGAGGAATGCCTCAGTCGCATGATACCACTTATGGTAGAGAATAAAATGATCTATATCATCTGTTGGGCTTTCTACAATCACCTCAAAAGCACCATCTTCACGACATCCAATTTCATCAAATCTGGCATTAAGAATGTTCATCGGAGCTAAATGTCTCATATGTTTCATAAACCTCTGTTGCAGAAATCTCTAGCTCACTTCACTGAGACCGGCTTCATCCCTATAAAAGAGAATTTTTATAACTTTAGTGTGTGTGTGCCACAATATGTAATCTTCATCCTCTGACCAAAAATGCATATAACACTAAAAAACTTCATTCGATTTGGCCTTCTCCTTTAGTCCATCATCAGTGGAAAGCGACAAACATTCCTTCAATCGACTACTACCCTCCACAATCAATTTCTTCTAAGGGATTTTTGTAGTCTTATACATAACAGATGAAGATAAAACAAATAGAAGAAGATTTGCAAATGAGCTTGAGCCTGTAGGATACATATCTCATGCATACAAATAACCAAGACTTGCTCAATTTATACAACAAGGCCATCATATATCATTAAAATAAGTCAATAAAAAAAAAACACTAGATAAATTTGACAATATAAACTGATTTGATAATACAAACTGATTTGAAAATACAAACGAATTTGATAATATAAACTGATATGACAATACTAGCTGTTTTTGGCAAAATTGACATGACAATACATAAACAATACCAATTTCTCTTTTTGGTTTATTATTTACTAAACAAAATTTAAGTTATTAAATTTTAGATTCTTTGGTAAATATAATTCTAATGAAGTTATACTTGTTTGTCAAGAACAACATAATATTTGAATGAAAAGGGCATGTTTGATAAATATTCGATCAAAATTAAATACATATATGGCAGATTACGGTGACAGATCTCATTGGCGTCGAAAAATTCAAAATAAAATATTGCTCAAATAGTAAACTAAATAAATATTATTAATTTAAATCTTAACTTAAAAAATTATTAATAACTAATTCAATTAAATTATTCTTATTAATAATGAAGTGATAAATAAAATTTTTTACTCACTAATTAATTTGTTTAAATGATAAGAATAATATAATTCGTATATATAAGACAAAATAATATTAAAAAAAATAAAAGGATGATATTTTAAATATGCTCCTTTTTATAACTTGGCTTCTTTTTATTAACCGATTTCATGCAGCTAAGTTGCGACTTATTTTGATGGGAAACATGCACCATTTAATAACTAATTTCACGTAGCCTATTGTCAAACCCAGAACTGTTGCATTCTATATAATGCATCAAATAATTTGGTGCATTTAATGCAATGCGCTAAACCATTTAGTATATCGCTAATTTAGACCCTAAACCCTAATTTATAATTTACGCTTGCTCCTTTTTAAAATTTATTCTTATATTAGTATATATAGAAAAATGAAACTTGAATTAACCGCAAAAAAAAAAAAAAAAAAAAAAAAAAAAAAAAAAAAAAATCACATTTTTTATCGACATTGAACAGGTGCTAACCCGGGATTCAATTCCCGTCGGAGTTCCCAAAGCTCTATTGATTGCGCGAACGAAGAGCAGAAAACAGCGGCGGAGAAGAATCAAGCGGGGGGTTCGATCTGGAAACTACGTATCCTCAAGTCCAATGCTTTCTCTTACTATTCCTCTTCCTCTCGCTCTCCCTCTCCCTCTTCCTTACAGTCCGCCTCTCTGAGATCTCCGAAAGTTTCTCCTCTCCTACCTCTCTATTTCAGATTGGGATGGCCACAGCGACTGGGCTCGTGTTCCCGCCGGCCCCGTTCATCCGGCGGGTACGTATGGCTCATTTCAACTTGTTTTCCAGTTCCTTCTGCACGGAGAGGAATGTGCAGCGGCGGGCCGACCTCCGGTGCTGCGCTGTCGTCGGCGGGGGTGTAGATGACCACATCGTCGGAGCTGCATCTTCGTCGAAGCCTCGGATACCTAGGTATGATTTTTTTAAGAAAAATTTTGAGCCTTTATTAAAATTATATTTTTTAAGAAAAATGAAGAAGATGCACTGGATTGTAAGTGTGATTGAAATCCTACCAAATTTGAACATTGTGCAAGAATTTTGACTATGAATTTTAAACTATACAACAATCAAGATTCACATAAAAAAAAATGGAAATAGACAAATATCAAATTTGGTAGGATTTCAATCACACTTAGAAACCAATCACTAGACAATTTAGTTAAAAAGAATAATGATAGAAATCAGTAATTTGAAAATTCATACCTCATGCTGGTACAAGGAGTTTCATCCATCGAAAGTTATCGTTAAGACCTATGATGTGAAGAATCCACATCCAACCACACATACGATTGAGAGAAAAACTGTAATTTATTTCACCATTCAATATTCACTGATTTTTACATACTTAGGTCTTATTTTTAGTTCACTAAGAACTAAAAAAATAATTCCGTAGAATTCTATAAGATTTAGCCTAAAATTGTAAGTTTCAATTCAACCCATTTGGATTCCATCAAAGATAGTAAGTTTCTTTTCTTTGTTTAACAAAATCTCATTTTTTACAAAGCCAAGCAATTGATGATTTCAAATTTTAGATCCTAAATTTTAGTGCCTATAATAGTGCCGAAATCAAGATTTGTTGATAGAAAACTTTGTTTGTCACTTTGTCCCACCGCTATCATGATATTTCTTCTATTGTGCGTGTCACACTACGATCACTATCTCAGTTCAATCTTATATCCATCTTGATCACATTCTCTATCTGATTGCACACGTCAATAACGACCACCATCCAATCATAAACATTTTACTTTAATTGCAAAGGTCCATCATTTTTATTTAATCGATAGCAATCTCCAATTTTAGCTCGATCAAATTGAATTAGTTCATTTAATTAGATTTAGCAAAATTAATTTATTCGATTGTTTAAAAAAATTATGTGATAGCTATATATATATACACACACATATAGTTCAGAAAAATTGATAATTGGGAGCAAACACAAATTTCACAACTATGTGCTGTTGATGATACATTCTAAAAAACTAAATATATATTTTCCAATGGAATTGATTCATAGTAACTAATTCATATTCTCTTTCAATTTGCATCAAGAATGGAAATTAAATATCTTGACTTTATGCAATTGTCTCATAAATCATTGTTAGGACTCTTATGTATGTTTATGCGTGTTTTTCCTCTCTGATGTATTAAATGCTTTTGTTGTGTTTGTCTTGAAATGCTTATATAAAATATATTATGTAATCTTAAATTATTTTAGCATTGTAATGACTACATTGACGAAATGTTTACACACTTCCTAAATATGATAAACATCTAGCAGGGTTGTTGGCATGGGCTCTAGACTTGTTGGATCTGGTTCAGCAGTGCCGAAGTATATGATTTCTAATGATGATCTTGCACAAATTATTGAAACTTCTGATGAGTGGATTTCTGTTCGCACAGGGATCCGTAACCGACGTGTTCTTAGTGGTAAATGTGTAACTCTCTTATTCTTTCATAAAGATTTTGCAATTTAGTTGATCTTAATGATGAAGATATCATTGTATGCTTAGTATTGTATAAACAATTTCCTTAATTGAAGGCCCAACAATCCCTTGAGTCACCTTGATACAAGACTTGCATGTTCGGTGGTGGTTCTTAGAGTTTTATGATTTTTGGCTATAGTTAGTTTTAGGACATGATGTTCTTACAAAATTGCAGAAGTTGCGACTTATGTTGTCATTGTGGTAGGTTTTATTATTCAATGTGCTTGCTTTGGATGGTTTATTCTAGTGGGATTTTTATTTGTGTCATATTCAATTGATGCAATTGAGTGTTATTTTCTATATTTTTTGGTAAATTTAAAGGGACTTTTTGGTTATTAAAGGGGTCTTGAGGTACAAGTTAATAAAGAATTTCTTAATAAATTTCTATTTGGATATGCCGTTCTTTTTATTGTTCACATAGATTAATTAGGAGATTGAAGATTATCGAGAAAGATTTTCTTCTTATATAGGCGGAGGCTTGTCGCTTCTGGATTTGGTGACTTCTTTTCCTTTTATCTTTATTTATTTTCTCTAAAATCTTTTTATTACTTTGCATGTGTGATTGATTTAAGTCAAGTTTGATATATTCTGAATTTCTATGATGGTGTGATTTTCAATTGCTTGTGTGATTTTCATGTTTCCATAATTCTATGTATTATTTTTAAGAGAAGGCCATTAGATTATTATCTTTTTGGGTTTCATTATTATTTAGTTTTCATTGAAAATAACTAATAGTTGTTTAAATTAAAAGTTTGTGATTTATGAATTGGCATGTTTACATGATTTTGTGTATCAACAAATCCTAGACTATAAATCATCCTACATTAAATTTTGATATTAGAGCTTAAAATTGCACAACAATGTTAATGTTATATATGAGTTGGTCAATATAATGATAAAAGAATTTGTAATTTATTTCAAATCGGTTAAGCTATGATTTTAAACAAACTCAACATAGTAAGCACTAGTTTCATAATTATATTCCTACATTGGAAGGTATCATTCTAAGAAGCTTTCAAATTGGATACATAGCCTAAAAAATTTCTTTGAAAGAGACAATATGATAGATTTTCAAAGGATTGAACTTACTGAAATAAAACTAACTGGATATACTTAACTATAAAGAACAATATAGGAACCAATATCCACTCTCCAATCATTATAGGGAAAAATTGCACGTTTAATTTAAGAATTTTAACATGTATTTATAATATGTCTAAATTTTTTATAGCCAAGTATTATTTTATGAAAGATTATTTGGTTATCATTATTTATTTCATTAAAGGTCTTATATAAGAAATTAAATATGAATTAAGTTACAATTCTCTAATGACATTTAATGATATATTTTTTAGAGTTTTGTAGTTTAAGAAATATTATAATATCCTTATGTTCGGACAATCATACCTATGATTAAAGTTTTTAATGAAATGCATTCAGGTATATAATTGTTGTTTTGGATTACTTGTGGATTATTTCATTTGCATTTGAATGTTTATTAGGATTTTGGATAACCTATTCTATCTAGGTGTCTTGAATTTAGATTAGATATATTTACCATGTTAAATTAGGAGCTTATTATTAGATGATATGAATCCTATTTTCTGTAAATAGGAAGCCCTTAGGTTGTAATTTTAAAGACACTAAGAGTGGATAATAGTTCACAATTTACCCCTCTTCTATAATTCATCTATATTCTATCTCCCAGGGAGTTTTGCTTCTTTGTTCTTTCTCTAATATTATATTTGACTCTCTTTAAAATATTTTTGGGTTCGAAGGAGTATCCCCGATGGCTAATAACTTTCTTCAAAATCACAACTCTAGAAACTTAATTAGGTTTATGCTTCATCAATTGCATGGTAAAAAACCTATCCTGCTCCTCTAGGGAGATTTTAATTAGAGTTTATGCTTCTTCAATTGCATGGAAAAGAACCTATCTGCCCCTCTACATTGTTTCTCCGTAAGTTCTTGCATATTTCTTGGCTAGTTTGGATTGAAAACTTTAGTTCTCGAAAATTTTTATGAAACAATAAGTTCCCTGAATCCCTGCATTCATGAAAGCTCTTTTGTGAGTAAACTTTAAAAACCTTAATCTTGTTAGACCCAATCTTGACCTTGGATCTTCAATGAAAACCTTGGGTCCGCATTATTTTACTAGTTCCATAAGTTTCCACATTATAATTCCAGATCAAGTTGGCATCAAAGCCACTTGATTCCGGATCATAATCAAAACTCTTTTTTCTTTCTTTTTTTTAATCCCATTTCGGATTGTTGCTGGAAATTTATTAGTCTATTGGGGAATCTTTGTTTATTATGTCTCTTGGAAGTACGTCTTTACATTTAAAGTATTTAACAATCTGACAGGAGATGAAACTTTAAATGAATTGGCCCTGGAAGCAGCAAACGGAGCTCTTCAGATGGCTGGTGTTGTGCCGCATGATGTTGATCTCATCATAATGTGCACATCAACTCCAGATGATCTCTTTGGAGGTGGTGGTCAGGTATGCTGAGTATAAATCCTTTTTGAACTATATTTGTATGGAACATTGAAGTTATAGTTAACTAAATTAGATGAAACTACTGAAGCAAAAGTGATGTGAAACATGCATGGAAACAAGAATTGCTTTGCAAGATTAATAATAATTTGAACAAAACTTTGCCAATTGTAAATCTTGTGTTTCACCAAGTTAGATTCTTGAAATTTTAATTAGAAGTCATGTAATAGCATACGGTTACAAACGAGATTAAAAGGACGCTTGCAAATAACAACAAAGTTAATAAGTAAAACTAATGGCAATGAAACAAAAATCCACAGCTTAACAATGAGAAGTGTTCACCCTGAGTTCCCTCATCCCCCCTCTTGAAATTGGTATTTAGTGGAGAAAGGTTAGAAGTAACCCTAGTGATGCCACCATAAGACGAGTGACGCGTAAGGTATTGTTCGCTGGAGAAGTAACTGGAGGAGAAGAAGTTGATGGTCGGCTGACGATTTGCCAATGTCCAGTTGGTCGTTGTTTGTCAATCATCTCGGCGAGATGATAGAGTATGCGATCTACATAGCTTTCCACTGAATCTTCGAATTCCCAATCTGGATCAAAGAAGGGCGACTGCAGGATGTCGATTTGCCCTTGCGAGTTGTTTGCAAACCCATGGTCGACTTCAGGATCGGCCATTTATGGAGGCGACGTCAGTTTGTTGGACTCGATCCTTGAAGGATTTGTGTTGGAGAAGGAGGTTATGAAGGTGAGAGGCAAGGGGAGGGGTTTCGACTAGATTAGGGTGTGGTTCCAAGAGATTGGGATAGGGAAAGGAAGACTAAAGGTTGTAGGAGAAATCTGAAATTTTGATTTCAGATTTTCTATATGAGAGAAGCTGTTTTGAAATTCAAAACTATCCCAAACTTGGGCTTAGAAGAGGCGGCGACTAAGGGGCTAAAGGAGGAGATTTAATTAGGAGTTAATGAGCCAATTGGAGAGAGAAAAGGGGGATTTAATAAGGGGGAGAGGCGGCATGTGCAAGGGGTTGGCGACATGTGGAGAGAGGGAGGGGATTTTTGGGGAGCAAGTGAAAGCATCCAAATCAAGATAGTTAATTTAGGAAGTTGGGAATTAAATCAAATCTAATTTAAAATCAAATTAGATTTAGGTTTAAGAACTTTCCTAATTTAGCTTTTGTTAATTTAGGAAATTATTTGAATTTGAATTTCAAATTGAGTTAATTTATTTCCCAAATTACTTAGGCTAATTTAAGTAAGTAATAATGATGATTGGACTCATCATTAAAAGGAAAAGGAGGATGTGGCCGGCGGTGGAGCTTGGGGAAAAGGGTTTGGCCGGCGGTTCTGGATGGGGAAGGGCTAGAGGCCACGGAGTAGGAGGATGGTGGGAAGGTGGCCGACGGTTGGGGCAATGAGAGGGTACGGCCGGCGGCTTGGAGAGGTAAATGGAGGTCGGCCGGTGGGGAGAAAAGGGGAAGAAGAAGATAAACCGCGAGCCAAGGACTCTTCCAATGTATGACGAGTATTGCGTTCACCCTCACCTAGGGTTCTCTCTTCTCTCTAGTGCACACACAAGAAGAAGACAATTATGAAATTTTTATTTAATCATTCATTAACCTCATACAAAGCAAAATACCTCTATATATAGGCCTCAATAATAAAGAAAATAAGAAAGACTCAAATTCCCTCGGGTCTACAATAAGAACTCACTACCCATAGGGGTAAATTAGGAAAACTAAAATGCAAAATAAATAAAACATAAAATATATAAAAAGTAAAGGCTCTGAATCGTAGCCGTCGATCTACGATTCCGTCGATGGTACATCTGTTGAAATCTTTGGCTGATGTCCTCATCAAAAAGTTATTGCATGTCCAAATCAACTTCTTGTATTTTTTTTAATGATGTGATTAATAACTTAATCAAGTGACATCCATTAGCTGAATTCTTTTTTGAATGATCGTAACACCCATTAGCTGAATACTTATTTGAATGATTGTAACACCAAGTAAACATAATTAAGTTTTCCATTTGTCTGATTTTTCTTCTCTTCACCTTTGTACCTTATCAAATTACGTATCAAGAAGTTAATCGTGCCATTCTAATCATCTGTATACTTTGTGCTTTTCATGTGTTATGTAAGAGTTTAAAGGTGTAAGAACCTGTTTGTTAGAGCTTGCAATACATTTTGGTAAGAGTTCAAGCAGCCATTGCACTAGCTATTTTTGGTTGGCAAAGTCATGCAAATATGCTCCATCTTTAAATAATTGTGATGTAATTGAAAATAGGTTTTTTTTTTGTTGGGGTTTTTAATTGGGGCTTGGTGTGAATGGCATAAACTCATTATTTCAAGAGATGGAGATAAAATATACATCAAAGAATTTGAAAAAAAAAGATTAGAAAAGTATTATCTAGATTACTCTATGAGTAGATAGAGAATCCACATCACAAAGGAGAGGTTTATGGTTTTATACTGGTTGCTTTTGGCAAGGACATCACCAAAAGAGCTGTTCTTAAAGCATCATCTTATATGCTTCTGTATGTGGGCAAGTTGTTTTCAGAGAAAGAGAGAAAGGTAGTAGAAGAGAAGTTAGATGCATGGATTTTGAAATTGGAGGGTCTCTTCAAATTGCGCCCTTGAGCTGCTTTAAGAACAGCTCTTTTGGTGATGTCTTGCATATTTTCAATGATATTGATGGCTTTCTTTGGTGTTGCAGATAAGTGGGAATTCCTTTAGATGACCTTTTTTGAATATGCTTCTTAAGCGAAGCTTTTAACACTCTACATCTGATGTAGAATGAGAAGAGAAAAGGGGGGACATTTGAGATTTGAATTTCTTGCTTTAATTGAGATCAAAATATTAGGAATAATTAAATCAAATCAAATCCAATTATAAACCTAATTTGATTTAAATTAACTAACTTTTCTAAAATAGGCTATCTTAAATTAGGAAACTATTTCAAATTCAAAATTACTTAGAATTTGACATTAAATATTTTCCTAACTTAAATCGTTTGATAAAAGGAAAGTAATCAAAGGGGAATTCAAATTTTGGAGGCAAAGAGGAAGAAGGGGGGGAAGGGGCCGGCGACATTAAATGGGGGAGGAGAGGTTATGGAAAGAAAATTAAAAATGACTTTAATTGGAACCTTAAATTAGGGAGTAATATTTAAATCACATCCAATTAAATAATTAACTGGACCTAATTCAAATACTTTTCTAAAATAAGAATTATAATTTTAGAAACATAATTCAAATTCAAATTAATTTGAATTTTAAATTTCAATTTGTTACTAAGTTAGAAGGGCTTAAATAGGAAAGGGCTTTGAATGTGAAGGGAGATTTGTGGAGCCAAGGGGAAAGAAGGTGGCCGACAGTTTGGTGAGACTAGTGACTAGGGAGGTTGGCGGGGGTGTTGGAGGTGGAACTAAGGCCGTGGGGAGGGAGAAGGGGAGGCCGGTTTTATGGAAGTGGAAGGGTTTATGGGAGAATCGGTCGGTGGAAAGTGGGGGATTTTGGCCGGCAGTCAAGGGAGGAGGAGAAAAGGATTTAGGGAAAGAAAGATACAACCGCGAGTCTGGACACTTTCTGCAGCTGACGGGTACTACATTGTCATTCACCTACGGACTTCAGGCCACGAGTCCGAACACATCCTGCGGCTTGTGGAAGTTATGAATTCCTCCCATAGGAATCTCACCCAAGGTTCTTCCCAAAGAACACAAGTGCAAATACAAAATTTTATTCTAAATCCATCATCACATTACACAAGCAATGGACTCTATATATAGGCTTAAGAAACTAAAACAAGACACATATGTCCCTAGGGCTTACATAGGACGACCCTCTTAAGTAAGGGTAAAAACGAAAAATTCATAATAAAAATAAAAAAATTACAAATAACAAATTAAGATAAGGTGGAATGATCTCGGCCGTCGATCGTCATCACCTCATTTGAAAATCTTCATGATCGGATGTCTGCATCAACATCTCTTGGCATCATAAACATTATCACTATGTTGTAAGCAGAACTTTGATTTATTTCTGATTTCAATAGGCTTCTTCATAGGAGTGGGAAGCTTGAAATACTCCCTCTTTTGAATGGTGATCATGACTTTGGCTAATGATATATTGAGTGGTGGTAGGCGAGCTTCATAGAATGTTACAAGGTGGAATGAAATGATGCTTCCTAGGATCATGTTGGGGTTTCTTGAAATGGCCTTTGCGGTGGGAGATGTTGGTCTTCTTGCTCTTCTTCTTTGAATGAGAAGACATGCTATTTTTGCTATCCTAGTTCTCCCTCTTCCCAAGAGAGCCATAAAGATTTCTGGCTGGGAATTCTGTCTTATGGACCAACTCTTTTTGTTCCAATAAACTTAACGACTTTTTGGGGTAGGCCTTGTATAGTGCTAGGAGGATTCTTTGCAACTAAAAACTTGAAACTTCTGGGACGTGGACCTATAATGATTAATTTTTTTTACAATCTACAAAATATTTTTTTTTATTTGATTTAGTCAAAATTGTCATTAAAAAAACTCATAACGGGAGAACCGACCGCACAATCATTTCTTTGAAGCATGCCTTTGGATAGGTGGAATTCAAGTTGGTAAAATCAATGCATATTTTCCGCTTTTCCTTTGAATTCTGAACCAAAAAAAGAAGTATTATTGATATTGAACTTCTTAGATGAGTCATGCTTTCAATAACTTTTGCACATCTCAAAGAATAGGCTTAGTTAGCTTTGCAGCAACTTGTCAGATTTTCAAGTTTATATATCGGACCCATTTATATATATTGAGTCAGTGACATGCAATGCTTATATCTACTCATGGCATTTCGGCGGTTGACCAGTCAAAAACTTTATTATTTTCTTAGAAGGCACTAACAAAATTGCCTTTTCGTTCCTCATCAAACAAAGTTTTGACACATGGAGTTCCACTTTGATCTTCTTTGGAAATAATAACTTAATTACTTCCAATGTCTTGAGCCTATCTCCTATATGAACCACT